ATTCCAAATTGTGCTAGAACTTGCTGTCAGTGTTCAGGTACCTTCTGGGGGCCCGGAAGTCTCCAAACAAGACCCAGAGTTGGGATCCCTGTGTGGGGGACTGACCCCCCAGTAGCCTGTTGGCTTCCACCACAGGCCCTGGTTCCATCAGTTGTCATGCTTGTGAGCACATGTGCATGCCCACAGCTGCCTCTTGGTTTAAAGAAAGGAAAGGGGGCCTCCACGTCCCCCAAGCCTTAAACACCTGGGCCGTGCATGAACACTGGCAGTTTAGCAAGAGCTGAATGCTGGTCTGGGCCCTGGGTGAGTGCTGGCTTCTGACGTGGCTGGAGCTCTGTGACCTCTCCCCACGTTTGTCGTTACTGTTGGTTTCTGATGTCAGTTTTTATCTCACCTTCAGGGACCCCCTGGTGGTGGCGGCCCCCCAGGAACACCTATCATGCCTAGTCCTGCAGGTAAGAGGGCTGGGGGAGCGGGTGCTGCTGGGGGAGCAGGGAGTCCTGGCGGGGCCCAGGTGCGGAGTCGGGGGTTGGCAGCCACTCTTCCTGGGCAGTGTGTCTCCCACCTGGCATCTTGGCATCAGGGATTTAGGGGGCATGAGGCCTCTGGTGCCACCAGCCCGCCATGTGGCCTCAGCTGGGTCACTCCTCATCTCCGGTTAAAGGGCAGGGCCAAACAAGATGGGGAATGAGGGGCCTCACCATTCTCAGCTTCCACTGGTCAGAGAGAATCCTGGTCTGGTTGTCATTTCTCTAGATTACTGAAAGGGGGCTTTTGGGTTCTGGCATCCTGGGGCTAGGACTCTACAGCATGGTGCCTCTGGAATGTCCAGGGCTCTTGGCTTCTGGTCCTCTGTATCAGAGATCCCTCCCCTTTTCTTTAATCGGAAGAGGGCATGTGTGCACACACGTGGGTGTGTGCACGCATACACACACAGACAGCATCACAATTGTGTTTCTTTCCCAGCTAAGAATAGCATACCACCAACTAGAAGGAATCCAACATACAGTCTTGACTCGCCCCAGAAATAACAAGTGAGGGGTGGTTGGATTCCTGCCCGAGAGATATGTAGCCTGCTCCTGCTATAAACATGTTAGCTGATTTCCTAAGGAGACTTTCCTGGCTAATTGGGGAGACAGGGGTCCCTCTCTCCCTCCCCCTCCTCAGCTCCCCATAACAGGGAGGCTGCTCAGCTGCAGGGGTGGAGCTGGCTGCGACCGTGATATTCTGGCTCCCGCTCCGGCTCCCTCTTTCTGCTGCTGCATTTTTATGAGCTGCATGACCTACATTCAGACTAGGTCACATTAAACCACTCCATATGTTAATGCGTCTCCGGCCCCATCCCTGCCTCTTCCTCCTGCCCCATCAGCTTGGCAGGGTGGCCCCTGGGTAATTTGTGGTGTTTCTCTTTCCCGATTTGATTAAAACTGCTGGGTGGGTTGGAGGAGAGCACAGGTGGTGGTCTGGCTGCCCCAGCGTTGTCCCAGGCAGCGTCTAGGGACCAGATTTGGTTTGGGGTTGGGGAGACGAGAATTTGAACCAATAAATCCCCTTTGCCGTGTCCACGCTGCTGTCCAGGCACCCTGAAACCCCTAGTTTCAGGGTTGAGTGGTTTTCACAGCTGAATTTTCTGTGATTAAAAACTTTGTGAATCTTCATTAAATACAAATTAACCAGAAAATGGTGGTACTTAGAGGAAATTTTAGGTGATAAAATACAAAAGAATGAGTTCAAGTGCCATGAGTTTGTTTTAATTAAGAAATGAATTAATCACCCCGACTTGCGGGTTTCCACTGTTCTACAGATTCAACAAATTCCAGTGACAACATCTACACAATGATTAATCCGGTGCCACCTGGAGGCAGCCGGTCCAACGTAAGTCTGCTTTCTAATAATTTACATATCAGATACCATAACAAATCATAATTAACTTCATCAGCTGAGGGGAAAGCAAGTTTAATTGATTTCAGCCATTTGTTACCAAAGATGAATAAAATAAACCGTCAGAAAAGTGATTAACTCTTGGGCAACTTGGTTCCCATTTCATAGCTGGCAGGGGGCGGGAGAGAAGGAGGTGGAGTGATTCCCACTCCTCTGGTCAGAGGCAGGCACCTAGCCTCACTTGGGGACCCCCACCCCGGCCCCGGGGGGTGTTGGTGAGGAAGAGCACCTGCTGCGGGTGGGTCTGGGCTGGTCCCTGCTCGGCTGACTGGCTGTGCTCCTGGGCCATCCCTCACCATCTCTGGTCCGTTTGCTTGGCTGTGAAGCTACGAGTGGAGGTCCCCGGGGACCTGCCTGCCCTGTGCCTCTGGGAGCCCTCTGCCTCCTCTCATGCCCGTCCCTCATCTAGGAGGCATGCCTTCCCTTCTCGGCCTCCCAAAGTTCTAACCCCCAGTGGTGTTGTAGCTCATTCCACTTCTGATTCCTGCGCACCCAGTCACTCGTGTGTTCCCGCGTCCTGTGTTGGGTGGGACTTTGTACAGCTGCAGCCTGTCTCCCTCTCCCGGCTGGGAGCTCTCGGTCTGACCCACAGACAACCTTTTCTCGCAGGGTGGGGGCCTTGCCCTCAGGGAGCTCAGTGTCTGGAAAGGAGGCTGTCGTGTGACCAAACCAATTATCCTGTGGACTGCAGAGCCAGATACTTGTGGCGCCAAGGATGGCTTGGGCCTTTAGGGCTGGTCTGTTTGTTCTGCTGGTTCGGTTCCTGATGTGGCTTCCGAATCACCCTGTGTGCCAGACCCTGATGGTGGGCTGCCCCATGCTAGACACCACACGTGTTTCATCCTCTGGCAGCCTTTGGGTGAGGTCTTTTGGCCTGCCTCCTGGGAGTACCAAGAGGGGCCTTTCCCCCCATCACATGACTGAGAAGTGTGGGGACTGCACTCCTCGCCTGCTGCTCCACCACCTGCTCCCTCTCCTCCTGGGCAGCCAGCACCTCCCATCACCTCTGCCTTTCCCTGGGGGCACCGATCATTGGGGTTTTAGTATCAAAAGCCCTTTGTCCCAGGAGATGACTTCCCAGGACACACAAAGTCCTGGGTTTTGGCAGTAGGTTGAGCAGAAAAATATAAGACCCATATAGCAACCCCGAAGACAGAATGGAGGGCAGGAGAATGGCAGAGACGCCCCTCTTCCCGCGGTTGCCGTCGCTGTATTTCCCCAACCACGAATGCCGGCAGCCATGCCTGTGGCTCTCAGTGTTGCATCCCTCCAAGGGGTGGGGCTCAGCGCGCTGCCTCCGGGCCCTGACAGAGTCTGCCTTTGACTCTGCCTGCGGCTTAACTGTTGTGCTTTGTGTCCAAAGAGAGCGCAGGTTTCATTTTTCACATTGTGAGTATCGTGACCATATTTTCTAAGAGCTCAGATACTGACAGTGAGAACGATGAGAACACCAGCACCAGCGTGACCGACCCTGACGTCACTAAAAAACAAAGGGCTGAATGGCAGGTGGGAGGACACTTGCAGCTGGGTTAGGGAGGCAGACAGCCGAGGCGGAGCGTGCAGCCCAGTGTGGAGGGAGGGGGTGTGAGCTCGCATCGCAGATGGAACCGCACGAGTCTGGGATGAGACAGGCACATCCTTCTAAATCAATCAGAAGTTTTGTTTGCCCTCCAAAGAGATGCCAGTGCTTAGTCCAAAATAGCAGCTGCTGCATTGGCCCCAGCATGCCTTTGAACGAACACCATCACCACGTCGGTCCCTCAATGGCTCCGTGAACTGAGAAGGTTACATTTCCTGACTCCAAGGCTGCAACTAAGTCCTGCGGATGGACCATTTTGGTGACGAGTGTGTTGGTACTTTACGGAGTGAAGCTGACTCTGTCACATCTTCCGAGCAGTCAGGGAGCTTCCTAGCATGTGGTGCATCAAATCCTGGCAACAAAACCATCTCCCCAGCTTTTAGGTACTTCGACTTGAAAACTGTAACTTCAAATCATCATCTTGATTTCTATGATGAAGATGTTAATGAAACTGCAGACAACAAACAAAAGATGATTGTTCTCTTGTCCAGATACAAGCCAGACTTCGCTCATTTATCTGCACATTTGGCAGACAGTTCAGTTAGTTTGGCAGATTTCATTTAGTCAGTAAACTTCTTACCTGCTCAGTGTCCCACACACCTTGTCCCCGACACTGCTGCGAAGGGGTGTGATTTGCTTGCCTGTGACAATCAGGCTTTCATAATGAAAGGTTTTGGTCACTTGCCAATTTGCTCAGAACGTGCAGAAGCGCTTACGGAGATTTTTTTTACTTGAGAGAGATGGAGAGAGCTTCAGACACGCACTCGCTGGACGGCTGTCGCTGTTGCTGGCCACAGAGAAGATGTGAAAACATCAGCCTGCTGTGAAGCTCTTCTCTCATTTGTAGCTGCAATGAGATGAGAATGGAGAATGGAGTTAACAGTAAAATAGAAATGTCGATGCTGTTTCTCCAAAATTGATGATCTTTAAAGAGGCCACAAGGAGTCTGGATGAGGATGAGTGGACTGCCCTTGAGCTGTTCGGGGTCTCTGGGTGGGATTGTGACAAAGCTTCATACAGTCAAAGTAATGGCTTACTTTTTGGACGTGAGATTGCTAGAGAACTCAAACGTCACCGGTAAGGGCAGCCAAGTTAGACAGGACTTTCTCAATTTCTTTATTAAAATTATAATTGGAGGTGGGGAGAGTATAGCCCCAGTACCTCCATTAAAAATAAATAAATATAAATAAACCTAATTACCTCTGTCCCCAACTCCCCCCTCCCCCCGCCGCCAAATAAAGCAAATGGAATAATCTTTAAAAAAAAAAAACTAACTTATTTAAAATCTAGCTTGAATCTCACAAGTTCAGATTAACTTTGTACTTTAAAACCATTTTCCCTGAGAAAGAGAGGTTTCATGAGTAATGACACCCAGTGGGCTTAATCTGCGTAGAAATGACGGGCATGGATGACAGGCATTGCCTGTCTGAAGAACTAGATGAAAAGGGCCTGACAGGCGGCTGGTCTCCCAACACCAGTGTGTAGATATCACGTGGCTGGACATCTCTGGGGAGCTGGAAGTGAATTCTTACAGGTCCAAAACCTGTGTGCATAAGTGAAGTCCTAAGCACCCTGTGTGCAGAGATGGGGAGGACAGTTTGAAGTTAGCACATCGGACTGACAGCCCGGCTTCAAAGCAGAGCGGCAAGTCAGTGAATTCTCCACTCAGTTCTGTGTTCGGTTTTGCCACTACATGAAGAGAAAGAAGGGTGTCCCAGAGGCTGCAGCTATTCAGAGAAGCTTAGTGGAAAAGCAAGCACCGATTGCCTCATTGCACCCCTGAAAGCAGGGTGGGTCCCCAGGAGCTTTACTAGAGTCTGCTCTGGCCACGTCTTCACAGACTGACTTGGTCTGATCCAGAAATGCGGCCTTGGTAGGCACCACTCGTGTTCTTGAAGATACTCAAAGGATGTAGGCGTTGTCAGGTTGGACTCTTCCTTGAATGGATTATCCCAGGCATCTACCCTGTGAAAGAAGCAACGCTAGCATTTTGTTCATAATTTTTGTGGGGGGGGATAATTAGGTTTATTTATTTATATTTTAGAGGAGGTAGCAAGAATTGAACCCAGGACCTCCTGCATGCTAATAAGCACGCGCTCTACCACTGAGCTATCCCCTTCCCTAAAACTTTTTTTTTCATCTTTTAAAAAAAAATTTAAAAAGGAAGCAGAGCAAAGTAGCCTATTGTGATACAGGACAGGAAAAAAATGTCATTTTTTAAAAACTAAATATAGGTAGCATCTGTTTAATCAGTCCTATAGTATTAGGTTCTTTCTTAAAAAAAATCTTACATTTATGTATTCTAATAAATACACAGTTAATATAGTCTCCAAAATTTAAATGTCCAAGAAAGAGTTAAAATAATTTACTATGGCAGAAGACAAAAACATAAAAATGTTACATTTTAATGTAACAAATGTCATTTGTTTAATTAGTCCTCCAATGTTAACTAGTTTGACTGTTGTTTTGTTTAATTAATAGCATATGTGTAACAGAAAACTAAATAATAAGAATAAACAAATGGTGCTGGGACAACTGGCTGTCCACATGCAGGTGAGTGACATTGGACTGCTTCCTTGCGACAGTACGCAAAAATTAACTCAGAGTAGGCCCTAGGCTGAAATGTCTGAGCTTAAACTATAAAACACTTGGAAGAAAATGTAGGAATAAATCTTTGGGACCCGGGTTACGCACAGCCTTCTTAGCTCCAACACCAAAAGCAAAGTGACAAGGGAAAGCTGAGTTGGACTTCATTAAAATTTTAAAACTTGTGTTTCCAGGGATACTGTCAAGAAAGTAAAAAGACGACCCACAGAAAATATTTGCAAGTCATGTGTCTGAATCCAGAATATGTAAAGAACTCTTAAAATACAATAATTTAAAAGACAACCCAGCTTAAAAATGGACCAAGGATCTGAACAGACCTTTCTCCAAAGATGTACAAATAGCCAATGAGTGTGTGGAAAGATGCTCGGTGTCATTAGTTACTAGGGAAATGCAAATGAAAACTACGAGATACTACGTCACATCCACTAGAATGGCTAGAATCAAAGACAGTGATAGCCAGTGTTAGCGGGGATGGGAAGAAACTGGAACCCTCAGAGTCACCAGTGGGAACGTAAAGGGCGCAGCTGCCGTGGAAAGCGGTCTGGCAGTGCTTCAAAGGGTTCAACAGTTACCATATGACCCTGCCGTTCCACTCATTGGAAATGAAATGAGAAATGAAAACGTCCACACAGTAATTGTGCACAAATGTTCACAGCAGTATTAGTCATAAGTACCAAAAAGTGGAGATTGCCTAAATGTCCATTGATGAATAGGTGAATAAAATGTGGTCCATACATACAGTGGAATATTATTTGGCCATAAGAAGGAAAGAAGTACGTGATACGTTCTGCAGCATGAGTGAACCTTGGAAATATGCTGAGCTAAAGACGCCAGCCACAAAGGTCACATACACGATTTCATTTAGATGAAATATCCGGAGTAGCTAAATCTGTAGAGACAGAAAATAAATTAATGGTGGTGTCGACCGGGGGGTTCTAGGCTTGAGGGGTAACTGCTGTTCGGTACAGGGTTTCTTTTGGGGGTGATGAAAATGTTCTAAAATTGATTGTGGTGATGGCTGCACAGCTCTGTAAATATATCAAAAACCACTGAATTGTGTACTCTTAAGTGGATCAGTTGTGTGGTATGTGAATTGTATCTCAATAAAACTTAAAAATACCAAAAATACACAATAATATATAATTTAAAATACCTTTCAAATATATGTGTTACAGTAATAACACACGTGCATAACTGAACATTATATTAATCACATCTTGAGGGTTTTTTTTTTTTTTTGTCTGGTCTGGCTGTGTCCAGGCTTGGTTCCCTGAAAAGTTGGTCACCCTCATCCTCATGTCACTTGGATTAATAAGCATGAAATTTGTCGCCAGATGGCAAAATGTGCCCCCACAGTCTGTGAGCAGTGCTGGGAGGCCAGTGGGAAGGCGAGGATGCTGCACAGGGTGTGTGAGTGTGCAGCGGGAGTGAGGAAGTGGCTCGGCCCCAGCCCTGCCCCTGCAGTTTCGTCATGTTGGTCCCTGCTCCAGCCACTCTGTGCTGCCACCTGCTAGGAGCCCTCTTACTTCTGCTCAGGCAGGACCCCTGCTGAGAATGAGTCCATGACCTGTTTCTGCCTGTCCGAATTCTATCCCTCAGTTTTGATGCTCTGCCTCCTCCTCCATACAGCCTATTCTGATTTCTCTGCCCTTTCTCCAGTGCCTCTTTCTGAAGCTGCAGCCATGCTTTGTCTGCAGCTCTCTTTGGATCTTAGCACATCTGTCCTGTGGGGTAGTTGGGTGTTTATGGCTCTGAGTTCCTTTTCCAAGCTGAGGCCTAAGTGTAACTCAGCTCTGTGTCCTCAGTGCCCAGCACAGGCCAGATGCCAAACAGTACTCTGTTCTGCCACCTCCATCCTCTGTCCACCCTGGTGTTTGATCTGTATCACTGGGCCTTGGCTCTCCAAACTGGGTTCAGCCATCCCTTGGTGGCCATGTGATGTGACCTCTGGCCTTTGGTTGCTTCTTTCTGAGATGGTTGTGACAGTTCCAGACAGGCCTCAGGGCTGGTAGAGCCGATTGCACGTCTGGTCTCTGATCTGTCTGCGGTCAGTTCTGCTCATTAGTGAGCTCCCCCCATGTAGTCCCAAGGAGCCAACTCCTGCCACTGACGCCCCAGCTGCCCCAACACCCCCACCTCACTGCTCAGTGAACCTGACCTCATCACCTCCTGCCCCAAGAAACATACTCGTTTCTGAGGAGGAGCTTGGAGGAGGCTAGTGTGATGGCTCCAGGGCCAGGCTGCCTGGGTTCCAGTCCCAGCTCGTCCATCCCCTGCCTGGGAGACTGTGGGCCAAGCATGCCCACTCTGTGCTTCACTTCTCTCATCTGTAGAATGGGGAGGAAAAGCATTCATATTTTTGTTTCCTGGCCTGACACAATCGGTCACTCCATCTGTGTCTGTCTGTCTGGGGTTCTGACTGGCGAGCTCTGCACGCTGCCCCAGGGATGGAAAGAGCCCAAGAATGGGATCCAGGAGGCTTGATGGGAGAGCTGCCTCCGGGTGACCCAGGGCAGTCCCTTTCCTCCTCCAGGTTTGTGTCCTCTCCTGGTGTGGAGGGCTGAGTGCCTCTGCCCCGCACATTCCCGGGGGCCATGGGGGAGGCACCAGCTCCGGCCTCCTGGTGTTAAATGCCCAGGCGTGTGGGAGAGTGCTCTTGTGCAGGGGCGTGGGAGCCCTGCCAGGCTCGCCGAGGGTCCGCTCAGCTGCCACGCTCTGTGGTTTTCCTGCAGTTCCCGATGGGTCCAGGCTCGGACGGCCCGATGGGAGGCATGGGCGGCATGGAGCCACACCACATGAACGGCTCGTTAGGTAAGTCAGTGTCCCGACCTCGTAGCGCTACACCCTGTCCAGCCCTGCCTGACCCTCCCGGGAAGCTTTCTCTGCCTCGGCTCCTGGCTCAACTAGGCGTGGTCCACACAGCAAGAGCCCAAGAGAAAGATATTGCCTGGGTAGAACATCCTTTTTGCAGAAATAATCAAGGTTGGGTGTAAGGGTGTGAAATCCTCTGCACAGAAGAGTGGGCATGAAACTGAACTGGGTTCTTTTTTCCTTCCAGGGTCAGGTGACATAGATGGACTTCCAAAAGTGAGTGTGTCTCCTCCCTGACAGCACCACCCAGGAAGCCTTTCTCCCAGTTTGGGTGGCAGGTTGCGGGGGTGGGCACAGGGGCTCACCTCCTCTGCTCTCTTTGCAGAATTCTCCTAACAACATAAGTGGCATTAGCAATCCTCCAGGCACCCCTCGAGACGACGGCGAGCTAGGAGGGAACTTCCTCCACTCCTTCCAGAATGACAATGTGAGTGTACCCCCGCCACCCTCATTCCTCCCTGGGCATCACCATATCCCAGTGCGCCGGCGTTCTGGCAGCCGTGTTTTGGGCCTTTCCAGACAAAGTGCAGAGCCCTCCCTTCCCCACTGCTGCCCGGTGCTGACTGCTGTCACCTGCATCTGACCACCGGTGGGTCCTCTCCCGGGCGTCCATGTGCAGGCACGGTGCTTCCAGCGTTGATTAAGCTAACGTGGCTGGAAAAGCCCTGGCTGGGACTCAGGAGGCCCCGGCTCTGGCCCACTGGGTCATTGTCCCCGGGGGTCTGTTTCTACCTGTGCTGGGGAGGAAAGTTCCTGCCACCAGTGATTTCCTGGGATCTTAACTCAGAGGAGCTGGCCTTCTACTTTTCTACGTTGGGTTTCTGTTTACAATCTCATTTGAAGGACTGACCGTGGTTAGGTAGCTTTTGAAAACCCCAGACCGACTCCCACCCCAGGGCACCCTGGCCATGCTCCGGCTTGTCAGACCCCAGTTCTCTGCAGTCAGGGGCCCCATAGGAGGAGGGCAGGGGCTGCTGCTGCTTCACCTGGAAAGAAGTGATGGTTTGGAGAGGGAAAGGGGGCAGGGGAGGCAAGTCGGCTCCATAGTTCCTGACAGAGGGGCACAGGCTGGTGCTGAGAGGTGGCTCCTAACCCCTGCCTCCTGGCCCTGCCAACCCCCTGCCCACCCAGTGCCCTCACGGGCCTCTCAGCCAGCCACCCGCAAATGGATTCTGTCCAGCTCTGTGCCTTCAGACTTCCACAAGGCTCCCAGACCCCGGCCCTCAGACCCCCCTTCTCTGCTTCTCCCCTTCCAGTATTCTCCAAGCATGACGATGAGTGTGTGATTCCCCCCTCCTCTTCTCCGAGACGCTGAGAGAGCCGGCATTGCAGGCGGGAAGATGCCAGAAATTATGCAAGAAGAAGTGAGGTGTCATTACCCAGGAGCTGGGGGAGGGGCGTCTCTTGCTCCCCCTCAACCCCCACCTTCCCCTCCACTCCCCACCCTTCCCAATTTTAGTTTCATGCAATAAAAAGGCCGAACTTTTTATTCCATAAAACATGAAGGACAAAATTCAAAATAAAAATATATTTCAAGTCAATGACCAGAGAAATCCCACCCCTTGCCCTTCCCCGAAAGGACCTTTTATGTACATGACACTTTTTTGTTGTTTTTTGTTTGGGGTTTTACCGTTGTTGGGGTTTTTTAATTTGTTTTCAGGGGGGATTTTTTGGGGGAAAAATTTTTAAAAATGGAAGCTTCTAGCAAGCCCCCCAACCCACCCCAATCAATCTCTTTGCTTTCTTCTTTAAAAAAAAAAATGAAAAAAGGACAAAAAAAAACCCAAGCCCTGTTGTCCGTCTGTACCTAAGCCCTTCCACCAGGAAAACTAGTCTAGGTGCGAGGTCTCACTTGTCTTTGTAGCCATCTAAAAATAATAATTATTATAATAAACTGGGCAGTTTACAATCGGTGGTTTCTTTCAAAAGGCCTTCTTTGGAAAGAAAAAAGGAGTTACCCTTTCCACTTGGGGTTTTTGGTTTGTGCTGACAGGCAAGGGAGGGGCAGAAAACTGTTTTGTTTTTGCTTGGTTTCTCCCGGCGAGGTGGCGACAGCAGCTGCACAACTTGGACCCCAGACCCCTTTCCCCCATTATGTGGCCGGAGGGGCCAGACCACCGACCGCTTTCAGGATCCCACCCCAGCGGAGATGCGCTGTGACCCGGTGGCATGCACTGTGTTCCCAGAACTGCTTCCTCCTCTCTCTTCTGGACCTCCCTGCCCTCCAGCCCCCTCAGCCCCCACCCCAGTCTTCCCAGCGAGAATCCTGCCAGCGGGGTGGTGGCCTGGAGCAGAGTTGGGGAGGCCGCCCCCAACAGGATGGCTATGATCTGGGACATGGAAACTGCGACCTCCGAGTTCTCATCCCTCACCTCGTCCCCATCGTGTGTGCGGGCAGTGTAGGGCTGGAGTTTGGGCTTTCTTTTGTTTTTTCCTCTTGATTCTTCCTTTTTCAAAGATGGGATATTAACCAGAATTGCTCTGTATATGCTTGGAACTGGATGGAAAGACTTTGGAATAGCTGTGAGGGGCAGGGGGACACCAACAACCAAACAGATGTGCTGTTTCCGGTCTTGTTTTTATTTTCAAAAACCAACAAACTCGACAGTGGAGCCTGTCCCCTCCCAGGAGGGGTGACTCATGGCCTCCCTCACCTCACCACACCCCCATTGAAACCTCTGTGTCTTGCCCTGAAGACACCTGAATTCTTTGTACATTTACACCCTCCTCCCCGCTCCCCTGTAGCTGGTCTTTGTTTTCTTCCCTTCCTTCTGATCCATGTATATCATATTATGTGAGATATCATCTGCCTGAAAAAAGACCTTGTGCGGATTATTGGGAACATTGTAGCTGTTTCTGTGTTTTTTCTTACCTTGTAGTCTGGTTCTGAATTAAGAGAGGAAAAAAAAAGTAATTATGATACATTGTAGTTTGTGTACGATATATGTTGATAACGTTTTATTAAAGGGACATCTTTTTTCCGCAGCCCTTCCTGACATGTTTGGGGGAACGTGGGTTGGAGTTTATTATACTGATTACAAACTGCCAGGCGACTGGTTGGGCAGAGTTTTTGTTCTGGTGCCTAACTAGATTTTGTTTTGTGTTTCAGGCGTCAGCCTTCTTTTCCTGGGCATGTTAATTCTGCATTTTCTATGGAGAGTTGAGGAAGGTGGGTTGGGAAGGGGGAACATCGTCTCACTTCAAATATTTGAGGGTATCCTGAAAGGCAGTTTTGGTTTCTCATCTTGAGAAGACATTTTGGTTTGCCAGAATCTCTTATTTTTCTGGAAGTCAGAAAAGGTTCCTGGGGCACTGTGTTTCCAGTGGAGAGTCAGCTTCGGCTAGGATGACCCTGTGCGCTGCAGCCATGCCCTGCTTTCTGGAATTTGCCCCACAGGTCCTAGGGTGCTGCACCACAAGGAGGCTGTTTCATTTTTTCACCTCCAAGACAATGGGGAGCCCTTGAAGGATTTGAAGAGTAGCACGGTCTAACTTGGATTTTAGAAAACAGTGCAGGCTGCATCCTGGAAGACAGCTGGATGGGGCTGGACAGATGTGGGGAAACCCAGCTCCAGCCACCGTCTAGGCAAGAACTACTGAGAACTGGGGCGGGGGGAGTCAGCATCGGTGGATGATGATTTGAACATTTAGAAAGTAGAATGTTCTGATTCCCTGGAGATCTGGAACCCTCATCTAGGTCAGCAGAAGAAGGGGAGGGAAACACATGGTGTCTGAAGTAAAGTGTGGTCTCAGCCTGCCTTTACAAGGTCTGAAGGAACCGGTTTCAGACCTTGCCTTTGCCACTGCTTACTGGGTGGTTGTGGGCACGTCAGTTTATACCTCTATCCTCAGTTTCCTCCACTATATAATGGGGGTAACAGTTTACCTATCATGTAGTGGCTGTGAGGATGTTAACATCTGTGAAGTGTTTAGAACGGTGCCTTTTACATAGTAAGAGTAGAAGTGTTAGCTGTTAGTGGAACTGTTACTCATTTGGGGAGAGCCTAAATGGATGTGATGGGGAATAGCTGGGAGGGTCTAGAAGAGTCCATCTGCCCTTCCCTCATCTGGGAACCAGGTTTCCTAGTCTCTTCCTCAGCAGACACCTTTAACTACTGGAAAACAACACTGTCAGATGAGGAGATGCAGGCTGTGACCTGCACTAAGGATTCTGAAGAGGCGTTTGTTCCACCAGCAGTGAGCACCTGCCCCGTGCCGGCCTGACACGGGTGGAGGTGACTGGCGAGCATCCACCCAGTACCCCTGCTGTCCCCGTGCTCCGCAGAGCAGGACTCGGGCACAGATGGGAGCGATGGCTTGGGAGAGGGAACCAAGGTCACGGGGGCCCCGGCAGAGAGGAAGCAAAGGGCCCGCCAGCCTGTAATGACAGCCTGCTGTGCCCAGCTCTGCTAGGGGAGGACACCAGGTGCCCTAAAATCCCACCTCAGCCTGTGACCCCCCCCAGCACCCCCAGAGTTGCCTTTACCTCACTCATATGAGGCCCTGGGGAGGGCTGGTTCGGGGTTGGCCTTCTCAGCACATCTTTGAGGAGGGGACTGGGTTAGAGGTTCAGTGGGAGGTAATAACTGGGTTATTTGGCTTAGAGACCTATAATCGCCACCTTCAAATCTTGACTGGGCAGTCCCCTGATTGGATGGGTTTTGGGGCCCCAGAGAACAGAGCTGGGACCCTGGAGTTGAAGCTATAGGAAGACATTCCTCTGAGGTGTGAGAACACTTAGCAGCCAGAGCCGTTAAAGAATGAAAGGCTGCACTGATAGGTAGTAAGTTCCCCATCGCTGGAAGTGTGCAAATGAGCTGGGGGAAGGATAGGTGGCTGCATGTGTTGGATGAGGTACTGGTTCCTGGGGTCTTAGGTCAAAGGTAGAAGGGAAGATAAACAAGCCCCTTTTCAAGGGCAGAGCTGGGGGTAAAACCAACTCCTCCTGCCCCCTAAGTCCCTCCCAGCTTTTCAGCTGTTTCATGGCTCTAACAGACTCTCCATAGACTGCTAACTCCTCCTGCTGAAGACAAGGCCAGACAGTTGGGCAAGCGCTGCAGAGGAGGGAGGGCTGGCGGTTAGAAGCCGGGGAGGGGTGGGGATCTGGCGATGGAGCCTGGGCCTCCCGGCCTCCTCTCCACTGCACAGACACACCCACCCCACGCCCATCTCAGAGCTGTGGCACTTTCCTCAGCTATGTTCCTGGCCTGCCCCGCACTTCGTTTGGTCTCTACTCAAATGTCACCTTCTCACGGAGTCCTCACCCAGTGAGGTAAACACCCCGTCCCCAGCTGCTGATGGCTCACACTGTGTCCCTTGCTGGGTGCTGCCCTTGGGCCCCAGGGAGCTGCCTCACCCCAGGTTTCACCTCCTCCCAGGTAGCGGCCGGTGGCCAACGATGGATATGGGACCTCAAGGCCCCCCTACTTGGTCATCATTTGGGATGACTCTGAAAGGCCCCCCTGCTCTGACCAGTCGTGCACTCCTGACTTGCTCACAGGTCTCCGGAGAGTGCTCCCTGTCAGCCTGCTGCTGCAACTCCCCCTCAGAGCCTGGTCCAGAGAACTCTTATTTATATCCTGACATGTCCCTCTTCCCTGCCTCCGGACACTGGAAAATCAGCTCTGTGAGAGCAGGGACCTTGTTTTGCTGCCTGCTCTAGAGCTAAGGCCTTGCAGCCTGCCTGCCACATACTAGGTGCTCATGGACACTTACGGGACAAATCAGTCATGTGGCTGAGGGCTTATCCTGAGCTGAGTTGTGGGCACTAGGAGCGATCTGTATGTAACAAGTGCACCTCTGCAGGTTCCCTAACATATCTGGGGAGAGGGGTCCCATAAACAGGGTGGTCTTCCAGCAGCCAAACAAGGAGGCCCCATGACTTATGGTGATTTGTGCATTTATGTCAAAGGGAAGACAGTCCGAGACACTCAGCTCCCACACATGCTTTAAGGGACTTTCTCCCACCGCAAAAGAGGAAGCAGGGAGATGCTGCCCAAAGCCTGGGGCGACCCCGGACTGCTCCTTCCCCAGCCTCGGGCCTGCAGCCTCCGGACAGCCTCTGGCAAGCATCCACCCTAGGTCCAGCTTGAGACAGCCTAAAGGGCCCTTCCAAAGTAATCTCACCCTTTCACGGGGCTTCTGAAAACCTTCAGACCCATCTACTGGAAACCTCCTGGTCAGATGCAGCCCATTAATCCAGTGGGGAAAACCTGAAAGGGAGGTGCTTTAACCCCATCTCATAGATGAGGAAACTCAGGCTTTGAGTGGGAGCTGGAACACAGAAGACTCTCGGAAATGGCCTTCCCTGAGTCCACTGATGTCTGCTAGAAATGAACCAAGAACTTTCTAAAGGATCAACAAGACGCTTAAACACGTAACCAAGTGAGAGTATGTTCACACGTGCTCACAATGCCAGTGTCAACATTTTGGTTCCGAACTTCCGTTGCTTAGAAGTCCAGGTCCCTGTAGTGGGATTTTTACAGCAACAGTGTGACTTCCACATCCACCCTCCTCATACAGTACTTTGGATTCCTTCCTCCAGACTCACTGAGTAGGTGGGTAGTCTTTTCTCAGGTCTAAGGCCAAATAGGGCCTTAAAATCATCTTGTATTTCCTCGCTCCCTGTGTTTGAGGAAAGGAAGGTAAGAAGAGGGCGGTGAGGATGAGGTAGGTGGGCGTTTGGGATTTGGGGAAGCAGGCAGATCTCTGTGGAGGGGCAGCTGTCATCACATATGAATTTTCCCGCTCTTTACACTACCCCACGTGGGGCCTGAGCCTCTGCCTCCTCACCTGAATGGGTACAGAAGCCAGAAACTGCCAGTCACAGCTGCTCCACCTGGCAGATCAGTTGCAAGGGGCTTTAAGAGACAGCAGTGGGTGCCAGGCTCTAAGGCACAGACCAAGGCCAGCAACTAGGGCTGTCCTCACTCAGGTTGGGATGAGGGCCTAGGCCTGCCCTGCAACACTGGCCCCCTTCCAGGGCAGTCCTCAAGCTGCAAGGTCATCTGCTGACTGCCCTCCTACTCACGGTCTCTGCCCCACACACTCAAGCCTCAGGCTCACTTAGCCCTCTCGCTCTCCACTCTCCCACCGTCTCCAGGGGGCTTCTGCCCTCTCAGGCTGGCTTCAAGCCACCACCATCACTCACCCAAGAATAACTGCAATGGCCTCCAGCTGGACTGTACAGTGGCCCTGCCAACTCGTCCTCCACACCCCCATAGAGTGTTCTTTAAAAAATCCCTTTGACTCAGCAATTCTGCTAGGCATGTATCCAGTGGCTGTGCTGGCAGAAGTACTGAGATACATGAACAAGGATGCTCACTGCAGCATTATCTGTAGTAGCTAACAACTTGAAATAACCCAAATGTCCATCGATAGATATTAATGCAGCCGCTCAAAAGAACATAGCTCACAGGTGCTGATGTGGCAAGACACCACGAACCCAAGGTATTAGGTGAAGAAAAGGTGTAGAAGAGTCTATAAATAGGACACTAAGTAACATGCACATGTGTCCTCATTATACATACACATTTTAATGGTGCTACGTAAGAAACTTGAAGCTGAGGTCACCCTTAGGGAAGACGACTAGAGTTGCTTGGGTGGGGTGACAACTTCTATATGGGGAAGCCTGAAATGCCTGGCATTCAAGGCCCCCCGAGAGCTAGCCCCACCCAGCCTCACTTCAACCTCCCTGCACTCCCCACTTCTAACCACTCCCCGCTGCCCCAGGATCCTTTGTGCCTCCCTGCTTTCGCACAACTGCTGCCTTCCCCCGTAACCCCTTGACACACCACCACCAGCTGTCTATCCTTTTCCTGGTAATCCGTCCTCCCACCCTGCCTCCCGCCCAGCCTACCTTATAAAGTGGAAGGGGCAAAACCTGAGGGTCAGACACATGGAGCTGGAAACAGCACTGTCATCCATGGAGGCGATGTGGACTTCCGGACCGCTCTTCAAAGCGGTCCTCCCGCAGCAGGAAGTAC